ATATATGGCATATATGCCCATGATGACGTACTTAAGAGTAAACCTTCTTATAACTCTATAAAAACTGCACCAATTTCAACTAGGACGAGCGCCTTACTCCGTGACCTGGTTTCTCGCATTGCTCCCTCATGGCTCTTCTAAGAAGTTGAGATCAGCTACTGATTGTGGTTCTCACTTTCAAAGTAGGAAGAGCAGGGAGCAAATCTAAGACTACTTTGCTAAGGCTAAGGGCCGTGGGACACGATGGGACGTAACCCCCCTGACTTTCTAGGTAGCCTTCAGCTAAGGAGATGTTTCACCAACAGACTTGGCACAGACATTTCCTGTCAGAGCTAAGTGGAACTGCATTTTTTATTGCTCCTAGCAATAATCTGCTGGTCACTATCAATGTTATATGTGTGCTTGCATGTACATTGCCATTAAAGGCACTTGGGGCCATCAGAAAGTTACTCGAAATAGAAAAGGATGYTTCCTCTTAACCCCACAATCCAGCATGACAAGGGAGATTTCACCACAGCCCATTTCCAGTAGATGGCAGCTTTCTTAGCTCCAGCGTTTAAAAGGCATAAAAAATCATCGGTATGTATGACCAGTGGCAAAACGCTTCCTACCTCAGGGACACCTTAGAAATGACATCAGTGTGCATGGAATCTACTAGCCCTTGCGATACCAAAACAAAACCAGAAGAATTATCCCTAATCTGGGAATGGGGCATTGTCTACCATCATAATACCAAAGTAATCTGTAAACCCAAGATTTGATTTACTGGGTTGCTGGGTCCCGCTACCTAAGTCCTTGGCGCAGACCTGCTTAGGCCAGCAGCACATGTCCCACCCACAGGCACCTGGAGGGAGACCTGAACAAGTCTCTTCCTGTGACACATCTCACCTAACGCGTCCTTCACACGTGCACCTCCTGGAAAGCCTCACACTGTGTTTACGGTCACAGGGGCTGCAGTCAGACAGTGAACAAAGCATGTTCTGCTGACAAGACCACGCTGCTGAGCAGAAGAGAAAAAAACTATCTACATTTTCCTGCAATCTGGGTCAAGAGAAACTATCTGGAAGGAGGGATGATGGTAAATGCTACTATAGTAGCACACAAGGATTTTGGGGAGCCTTCTGGCACAGAGGCCGGGCTGAGGGCAAGCCCTGGAAGGCAAGTGCAACAGGGCACRCAAGAAGCGCTGAAGGGGCTGCAGGACACGGCCCCAAAGGCAGAGCCACAAAGAAAGAGGGCAAGAAGAGAGTTTCCCTAGGGACTGAGAAGTCTGCAACGGTCCATCCAAATAAATGGTGGAGATTTGCAAGCCACAACCAAAATAAAAGCTGACAGCCTACAAAGCAAAGCTGGAGGGTGAAGGTCACCCTTTGGTCCCCAGCAAGGAGGGGGCAGGCTAAGGGTACCTCTGCTTGCCAGCCATTCATCGGCTCTGTTTCATCAAGCACATCTGAGGTTTCCCTATTCAAAGGGTTCCCCGTTGCCATATATCAACCTGGAGTTGTAATAAAAGGAAGTTCTAAAGACTGTGAATCCTTTGGGACACTGTGAGGCRCAAGCAGCAGCGGGGCAGGGTTCCCTCGTGCCGCGGCCGCGCTGGCCCCCGTCACACCGGGCAGCGCTTGCTCCGACTCTGCCCGCGCTGGGGAGGGAAGCAGCCCCGGCCGCGGCGACTGGCGCTGCCCGGGCCCTGGCTCCTCCGCAGCGCCCTCCTCCCGAGCCCCTCGCTCTCACGCTCTGCTACTAACGGAAATTTCCTCGAGTAACACGGTGGTGCTTCAATCCTTTTGAGGCTTAATCCAGTGCCCACTGAGATGAGATGATTCCCACTGATTTCAATGGGCTGTGAATTACATCCTTTATTTCCGACTTAAGAGCTCTTTTATGTTCTTTTCTTTCTGTATCACAAGCTCTAAATCTGCATTTCTGCCCGAATCACAGATTTTGCAGCCGGTGCACATCCCCAGATCGGATCCGCCAGGCTCCACCTCGCCGCCCGTCAGCCTTCATCACTCCTCCCGCACTAGCTGTTTCATTAATAAAAACTGACATTTCACAGTCCAGCTGTAACACACCTAACCAGCTATTTATTATACATACAGAATAGCAAATGTAGCATTCTCTGCCTCCTGCTCTAGTGTGGGCTTTCCTGACAATCCAACATTTTATTATGCTTTCCAAACATGAATGTGCCGAACCTTTCTTCGCATCCTCTCAAGCATGTTAATAGCAAGCGCGCTTTATTAGTATGTGGAATTAAATTCTCAGGGAACATCAGCAGATGTCATGATCAGTAATGTGTGATCAATGCTTGACCTTTTGTGCTTAGTTTAAGTACTACACAGCTAACTATGGTACTGCAGCTAGCAAGAAGAACCATCTGAATGTTTCATTTGCAAAAACCAGCCATTAGGCACGGAGCAATTCAGCAGCAATTCTCTGTTCCAGGCCACRTTTGGTGGTTCTGATATGCTCCACTCCCATGTCCTTGGTGCTTTCATCATCGTGTTGCTGGAAACATGTGCCCAGACCCCACAAAAAATACAGCCATACATCCAGACTTCTGGCTGCAGTACTAAGATGTGCACGGAATAGAGCCTGCCAAAATATATCAAATTTGCAAAACCTGAACTCATAGTGAGGGAAATTTGACTCATGCTCAAGCTGGTCTAGATTTACACCCAAGCCAAGTCCTGTCTGAGGAAGGAATTTGGTGGGTGCTCGCTCGATCCTGACCCAGGGGTACAGAGAAGCAAGGGAGAGGTAGATGCCCCCTTTCTTACCAGGAGCCCTGCAGGCCTTTGCCTGCAGCGGAAGCGGTGGAAGGGCTGAAGCCACCAGCCCCAGCGCGTCAGGAGCCAGGGCCACCGTGACCAGCCCCTCGAAGGCTGGCGGCTAACGCCGACACGCACCCACAGGCAGGGAGCGAGGCTCCCAGCGGGGCCGGTGACAGGGGAATTGTGGCAAGTCCCGCTCTTGCCCTTAGTCAAACGCAGCTTCTGAGGGCCCTGGGTGGCCTCGCAATGGGAGGTTTGCGCCTCTTGCTGTATTTTTCTGGCTGACGGAGTTACCGCACAGTAAAACCTTAAGTTTGGCTGACTTTCAAGTCAAACCTTGGCRTAGTTCTCATTTCCACCCAAAGCCATAAATGAACTCAGGTTCACTTGAAATTYGGTCGAGAGCTTGAGAGATTTGTGAGCCTTGGTGAATCTGTCCCATGCACTGGGGCTTTGCTGAGGACACGCGGCCACTGCTCCGCTCCAGGTGCAAGAGCCCCGATCACAACTGGCCTAAAAACACTTCACGTCTCTCCGCAGGCTGCAGCTGCCAAAGAAAACGCTTTGAGCAGCGCTCCTGTCTTTCAGGAGCAAGTAGGATATGTTTGCAAAACCACCAAAGCCTGCAGCATTGTAGAAACCTAAAAATATTAGTAAWGCTGTACAAAGAAAGAACTGTTTTCAGCAAGGGATGCCTGACCCAATACATTCAACGTTGTGTAAAGAGAGAAAAGAAAACAAACCACACTTCTGCTCTCGAAATGTAATAAAAAGCCTCAGGCCTATTGCACAGCCTGCATTTAACCTCCCGGGCCCAGCACACGGCCCCTGCGGCACCCGGAGCCGCGCGGGCGGCCCAGGACGGTCACCCAGACCCCATCACCCGTGCGCGCTCACCCGAAGGAGCCGCGAGGTCAGAGCCCGCCACACGGATTTGCTTTCCTGCCGCTCACACTGATGGAGCCTCTTCCTGCTACCTTTCAATTGCCATGATGCGAGCGCATGGAATCAATTTCTACAAATAGGCTGCGCCGTGTGTTTGGACTAGCCCCTCTCCGGCTTTGTCTTCTCCATGCCTCTAAACCCACACGCTGCACTGGAACAACGGGACGCGGCAGGCAGCGGCGAGTGGGTTAGTTCTGTGCTCCTCAGGTGCCGTTATGAGGCAGGCAGCTGCAGGTCACACTACCACCCGAGATGCTCACGAATCCCACAGGAGTGCACACTGAAACATCTTCCYATAGAGCAGAATTTACAGTCATAAGCAAAAGCAGCGGGCAACATTTCATATGTGTAGAATGGCACAGCCAGCCAATCAGAAATGGTACCCTGCAAACTTTTCACRGTATAAAAATAATTCCAAAATACAAAGTGTCAGGATTGTAAGATGTTGGTTATTGTATGACGTTTGTTATGTTATGTCTTTTTTTTAAATAAAAACAGAAGGGCATTAAGATTAACGAACATTTTGCCRTATTAGTTCAGATTAGCCAAACCAGGGTGCTCTCGTTTCTGAGCCCCTGTGTACACATGAAAACTTTCCGTGCCCCTCTAGCACCTTCTAACTAAAGAGAAGTTAGAAAAGAATAACATATTTAGCTGACTCTCTGACCATTGTATTTGTGGCTCCTACCATTGACAGTCCCGTTCCGGCTGGACAGCCTTGTGCAGATGTGCCGAGTGCCCCATCCCGCAGCCTCGGGCATCCTGCAAGGCCAGAACCACCAACTGGAACAGCAGCTGGATGGTTTGGAAACATGTGCAACTGATGCTGTTGCTTCTAGCACAGCTAAGGACAGAACAATTCTGTTTAAATTAATGGAGATCRTTGATATTCCTGCTATAAAACAGAGTAAAATTTACCCTAATAAAGACACTTTGACTCACAGCAGTCTGCCTGCCCTTGCTGAAAGACAAAGATCCTGAATCTTTTTTTACGCTGAGCTACCACCCCCTTTCCCAGCTCAGCTGTAGCTCCTGCCAATACGGAGAGGTTGAACAGATGCTAGTTTTCCTAAGCCCAAATTAGTACAGACAGTAACACAAGCACCTTGTCCTCATTCCCCTTTTCCCCCCAGATTACTAATAAAGAGTCAACTGCTTGGCTACCAATGGTACCGCATGCTGTAATTACTTGTTTAAATGATGGCAAATACATCAAACAAGTATTAAACACCACTTAGATCATCTCTCTTTGAAGAGGGAGAGACAAGCATTGGAAGCAGGCATTAATCATTTAATTAGTCCTAAAATTAACATCTTTTTTGAGAATATTAGTTTTTACAAAAACACCATCCTAGGCACAAACAGAACCTCAAGACAGCTTTTTGAGGCAAGCACTGTGAGCAGGTCAGTTATCCTCCACCATGTGAGGGATTTCTCAGGGCACCGCCAGCGCGAGGAGCGGTCCCGTAACGAGCCCGAGCACCACAGCTCCGGGCGCCACGTGGAGGAGGTTGGTGCTGGGGATTCCTGCACAAACTTTGCTCTCTGGGGGCAGGTTCTGCCACGCACCTTCCRGGGAGCAGCACAGAGATTCACCCCAAGGTCTTTGGCCTCAGAGTAAACCCATATCCAACAGCAGCTCATTTGTAGTATCCTGAGATCTGGGAGCTTTATTTTAAATAATATCTGTTTTCAGGGGATGTACTCTGCAGCACTACATGCTCCTAGCGCTGCAAGCCATCTCCAGCACAAAGCACACTACACAGCAACATAGGCGGGAAACCAACCTGCGCCTGGGCCAGGTCTATCAGCACYAGGCATCTGTCAGCACTTGGGTTGTGCTTTGTGGTGGGCAGGAACTTTCCATAAGGCTGCGAAGCGCCACTCCCTCCCTTGGCTCAGGGTGATTGCTTTTCTTCCTGGTGCTTCCCCACATTGCAAATCACGCTGCAATCAGAGTAATGAGGTGTCACTATGGAAAGCAGCGCTGGTGCTACATATTGTCAACGACCGTTCACACTAATCAACTAATAATGACATTGCTTCCTCCGCTATGCTAAATAAAATTCCCCTGGTTGTGCAACACAATTACTACTAATAACCCTAGAAACCTTAGTGTGTTTAAGGAGACTATTCCAGAGATTACCTGGAGACTTATTTTGGAGCGAGCTGGGGAAGACAAATCTAGCAGATGGAGATTATTCTTTAGTAATTAAGCAGACATTGTTCCCAGGGGTGTATGGTATTTTCCAATATTGTGAAGCATTTTTCTTCTAATGATGCACCTRCATTAAAATAGTGGCTTTCACACTGATGAGGAATAGTTTAAATATTTAAACAATTTAATAAATGCATTACATTAATAGCCGTTCTTCAATCTCGGAAAGAAAACCAGAGGAAATGATACTCAACAATCCGATTAAAAGATTTAGTATTAAAAGAGGGATGATGAATACAAATTTCTTTTACAATGAAAATGCASAGCCTCCTGAAGAGCAAAACACCTCATGACTACTAATACAGTCGTTAAAAACTAAGCCAGAACAAATGCTGAAAATATTTTGTGCTCTTTAAGTCAGGGACTAAGTCTCTTCGATGGCTTCAGAGTCTACTTGCTTATTGAGCTAAATCTTACCCAGATGCAGCAACATTTCTGCACTGAAATGACAAGGAGACATATTCGTTACAACACAAATGTTGCATGACTTATTTTCGAAAATGTTAGTCAGAAGGAAAAAAGAGAGAGAGAGAGAGAGAGCGCGCGCACAAGATGTGAGAGAGCAAGCAGAAGTCTCAAGGTTAAATAAAGCCATACAAACAGAAAGAAAAAGGAAAACTCACATCTTAGTTACAGCCAAAAAAGCCTCCCAGTGCTTTGACTGACAATTTTATTCCTGAGTTTTGAAATGCGGGATATCTAAGGGCACAATTTTATCACCCTGTCAAACATATTTGAACCACTACGTTACCGGCAGAGAAAACAGAAAGGAGAAAACAAGGCCGACAAAACCACAGAAAGGGGAGCCCGGCTCATCCCAGCAGCACTCTCATCTACCTGGTTCAACCTGCACCATGCAGAATCCTCTTTTTGAAGGGACAGGGATGAAATGCTTCAGTAAAAGTATAACCCATACCAACCCAAGGGAAAACGCTGGCCCACATACTTTAGTCTGACAGTATTTAACAGCTCCCTTGCAATGCTGCCAAGCACCATCCTTGTGCAAACCGCCTTCAACATTCAACCCTGAGTGCCTTTTTCCTCAGAAAAATTCCCAACCCCTAATCAGACACTCTATTCATCTATGTTTCTTCCCTGACACCAAGATATTTCAGAAAGCATTGCATAGTAACTTAGGCAGGGGTCGGAGCAAAATTCGTAAACACCTAATTAAGCCTATTCCCTTTTAGCAAAACAACTCAAATTGCTTAAGTGCTTAACTTGAAGTACTTTCCTGAATAGTGTTTTGCTGAATCAGAGCTTTCACAAATGCAAATTTTTAACAGCAGCAACTGCAAGCCTCAGACTTCTGCAGGCTTATCTAAAGCTGAACCCGAACTGAAAGGCTTCCAAGTTTTGCCCATTACTATTTCCTAATGCTTTGTGAGTTGTGCCAGTGACTCCTGGGATGCAGAGCTGAAACGGATTTCAAATATTTTACATCACAAATTTCCCCTTAAAGAAAACAGATGTATGCACATATTCACTAGAGTTCTTTATAATTTGAAACAGTATCATTTTAAACCAATCTTATTAGATACAGATGAACAAGTTTTGTTTTCATCCTGGCAAACTGCTGTTTTGCTAATTCTTGTCCTCTGCTTCTGAAAGTCTTCTTGCAGAGCGCTTGTGGTCCTGAAGTCATTACTCCTGGTCTGCCATCTTGAGACAGCCCCAGACACCGGGCCCATTGCTGCATCTGAACGAACCTTCTCAACGTGCACGTGCTAACAAGCGGCTCCCGAGGCCAGCATTCCTTTGCACGCTTCCTTTTACACATATGTAATTCCATTATCCCCAACATTTTATGCAGCTTCCTCCCTTTCTCTCTCTTATTCCAGTTCCCTTTGTCATACTCAGGGTGTTTAAAAGCCCTAGGAGGGCCCGAGGGGCTCTCTSCAGCTTCCCAATAGGCCATTTTAACCGTGAATTATTCCCACAGCTTGGGGACAGTTTGGATGGGTGCCCTTCCAGACCCTGAAGTATTATCATCCTTGCATTCCCAGGGACCAAGTAAAACATAGGACCAGACCCAACAAGCACCACCAAAGCACAGACAAACGCGTGTAGCAAACAGCCTCCAAMCCCCTGGCTTGCACAGCACTTCTTGCTCATTTTCTTTGGCGCTTCTCYGCAGCCAACATCAGTTTGCAGGTAGCAGCACTAACCACGGCCTCTCCTTCAACTGCTGCTAAAACACAAGCTCATGGTGCCACTTTTTTTTGTAGAAAAGTTTGAAAATAAGAACATCCCCCAAAAAACAGTATCCTCCCCAAATGGCCCAAATAGACACAGAACTCCCTTATCTTGGAATCAAGAGCTTGGATATTTAGATGGCTAATTCCCAAAGATGTGCACAGCTGCTAAATGCTTAGAGACTTTCAAGACCCAGCAGAGTCTCAACATCACTAGCCAGRCATGTTGCCTGTCTGCTGATACCCAACCCTGCTGACTTTTAAAAGTCCTTTTATTAGCAAAATTCCCCAGAACGCCTTCCCTCAACAGCTGGCCTTAAAAAACAGGGAAACAACTGTCTATTTTGATTTTCAATAACCAGCTAATGCAGCTGAAGTGTCTTTGCAGTGAAGAAAGGATAACAACAGTGCTGTTTTGTTTTTCTTTCCTCCTCCTGCTGTTCAAAACCAATTCCCTCCATAATTTTTACGTCAGGAACGTGTCTTCTCTTTTAGACCAATCGTATATGACCTCTCAAAGACAGGGTAAAGCTGTCTCCACACAGCACTCGGGCAGCAGAAGCTTCTTCCAGATGCACCACGAGCAGCCAACTGACCTGCTGGGAGGGAACRCCTGGAGAGGAAACTGGCAGGAAGAGAAACTCCTCTCACGTTCACAAGTGCCCAGCTGCCCTCTCCATGTGCGTCACGGCCACACGTGCCTGGGGTACAAATCCTAACGCTCCCTTCCACCTACAACAGCATCTGGTTGCTGCTTCTACAAAGACTCTACRCTACAGCAAGCATCTCAGAGACCATTTGCATGAAGAGAGGTGAGAAGGAAATGCAATCCCCACACAAGGGAATAAAGGATGAGAAGAATGGGATGTKGAACAGGTGGCATTAAACAGAATCTCTGTAACTAAAAATGCTAATAGCCTCTTGGAGGCTGTTTCCAAAACAAGTTATTTCCTTTAGACAATCAAAACATCATCAGCTTCACTGTAAGCAGAGCCCGTGCTCTCTCTGCTGAAGGAATAGGTTAAAATTCTCCTAGCTTAGGATGACAGGGACAGAAAGAGGAGATTCTTGTTCCTCTCCCGCTTTCACACCAGGCTGGTGGATGTTTATTTTTTTAAAGCATTCCATTTTGCATGGATCTTTGCTTCCTATTTTCATGGTCCTAAAGAGACATCTAAGTGAATGTTACTTTAGAATGGTYTCATTGATCCATGAGTCTTGATCAAGGATGTGACAGTGGCTGAATTCAATAGCTACAGGTACCAGAAAAATACATGGTAGGCTGAGTCTTTCCTTTAGATTASACACCAGAAAAAGTGCAGCAGCAACACTGCAGGACCTGCACTAAATCAGGTGATGTATTGCTAAGGTGGCAGTATCATCTCTAAATCATATTGCTTCACTTGAAGGGATGGCAAAATAGTCCAGAAGTAGAGACTAGAAGTAGATGATTTTGAACTTTAGCATTAAATCAAAGTACTGGATTTATTTCAACAATCGCTCTTAGGAGTATTCTATGCAAGAGGATACTTTGCATGCTAGGAATAAGAAAATTCAAAATAATCTTGGATGCTAGATAAATGCCAAGCAAAACTGTGTTGCACTTCTAAAAGATTCAAGATAAGCACATTATACCCACCACAGTAGTTGTCCGTATTTCTGTGGAAAAAAAATGTCATTTAGAAAAAAGTCTAGTTCTTTCTAGTTTTGTCTTCCCTTCTCATTCCTATAAGCAGCAAAACCTTTACTTGTTCTATCCAAAATTTCGCCTAATCTATTGATTATCACACCTACTGAGGTTCCTTAGGCAGCAGTAGAGTTAAAGGCCCTCAGAGAAGCCAGCAAGAGGCCTGAAGATGTCAGGCTTAGGTCTGTTGGAAAAGCTTTCATTGGGAAAAGCTTCCTAAACTTGTTCTCCCTCAAGATCACATATTTTAACAAAATTTTCTGGGGGTAAAATAAAGGTGACCACTTTTGTGGAAAGAGAGTAACATTTTCCATGACACTAACATGAAACCTACTTCTTTCAAAATTTTGTCATGGAGAACTTTGCTTTTGTCCTGATTCAAATGCATCCTTACCTGGAGATATCAAGAGACCTAACAGTATGCAGAAAATGTCCTTTTTTTTTTTTNTTTTTTTTTTTTTTTTTTTTTTTTTTTTTTCTCTGAGCATATTATAAGACATAATGGAGACTACAATAAATTTGGGGATATCTAGTTATCAATGCAGATCTAGCACACTATGTAGAATGCAAACACAGGACACCAGGTGATCCCTTGCCTTGTATACCTTACAGAATACTAAACACGGAGCATTTCTGTGGTGAACATCCTCTCTCTGCCAGCAATACTTCCCTGGGTAAATCTGCTTCCAGAAGCAAGCCTGGATGTGGACATGGCCAGCGCAGAGATAAACAAAAGGCAGCCCTAGCTCTGTAGCAAACAAAAAAATAAAATATGTAACGAGCTTCCTATAATAGAGCCATAATAAAATAATAATCTCACCAAATACAGAGTAAAACTGCTAGTAAGAGAGCTTTTAATCTTCMCTTAATCTTGTTGGCTCTGGTTCAAATTAGGAGCAATTTCATGGATGTCAGTTGAGTTATTCAGGTATAAATCTGGTTTGAGAGCAGAATCTGGTTTATCATTCAAGCATATTTAATAGAAAGAGAACGAGAAAATTGTCAATAGCTGTTCACAGTGTTCTTTTAATTGAATTAGTATTTCAATTCACCTTGCTGARAATGAAGTCTCTTCAGGTGCTGACACAGAACTAAAACCTACTTAGTTACAAGTACTTACTTACCCGTGTTGTGGCAGGCAAACAAACAGCAGTTTGAATCCTTACAAATGCTAGAATT